GAATGGGATCCCAGCCCTGGGAATGGGATCCCAGCCCTGGAATGGGATCCCAGCCCTGGAATGGGATCCCAACCTTGGAAATGGGATCCCAACCTTGGGAATGGGATCCCAGCCCTGGAATGGGATCCCAACCTTGGGAATGGGATCCCAGCTGTGGGAATGGGATCCCAGCCCTGGGAATGGGATCCCAGCCCTGGAATGGGATCCCAACCTTGGGAATGGGATCCCAGCTGTGGGAATGGGATCCCAGCTGTGGGAATGGGATCCCAGCTGTGGGAATGGGATCCCAACCTTGGGAACGGGATCCCAGCCTTGGGAATGGGATCCCAACCTTGGGAACGGGATCCCAACCTTGGGAATGGGATCCCAGCCGTGGGAATGGGATCCCAGCTGTGGGAATGGGATCCCAACCCTGGGAATGGGATCCCAGCCTTCCCAAGCAAAGCCTGGCTCAGCATCCCCAATCCCAATCCCATCCCCAATCCCAGTCCCAATCCCACCGTGCAAAAAAATTAAATTAATAAAAAATTGAAGGAATGGTTAAAGTTGAAGGAAAAATGGAAGGAAAATTTGAAATTAAAATTGGAAAAAACTGGGAAAAAAATTGCAGCAGTAATTAAAGCCAAAGCAAAAACTGATGTTAAAACAAAAATTAAATGTGAAGGAAAATTTAAAGCAAAAACAAATTAAAGTTGGGGCAAGAATTAAAGGAAAATTTTACTCAGCCCAGGCTCGCTGAGGATGCTGCAAAGGATCCCTGTGCTGCCTTTGATTCCAGAATGGAATAAAAAAAAAAAAAAAAAGCGGTAATTGATTTAGGGGTAATTAAAAACCCTCCCTATGCATCAAATGCAAAGGTGAGCGTGAAATCAAAGAGATGAATAAATACAAGATAAATAAATAGGAGCAGGGCAGGGAAGGTGAAGGGAGATGGAAAAAAATCCCAATTATGAAGGTAAAAATGGGAAGTGGTGGAGAGGAGAAGATGTGCTGAGAGTAGAGATAATCAGAGCATAAAAAAATGGGGAAAAACAATCAAAAGAAGGGAAAATCAAAAGCAGATGCTGGGCAGGGATAAGGGGCAGCCGCTGGAGCGGGAGCAGCCCTGGACTGGAGGGATAATGGATTTGAGTTCATCTCGGGCTGATAAGGAATTCCCGGTGGGTTTTTATTCCTGTATGGAACTTATTTTAATGGGATATTTGAATAGGGCTGGGGCAGCACACCCCGACAGAAACTCAGGGGTTCTGCAGCTCCTGCCTTTGCTTGGGGGCTTTTTGGGGTGAAACGGGGCTCTTCCCGCACTCGGCAGCTTCTGCCCCGTCAGCTGCGTTTGGGGCAGGCAGGAACCCCAAAAGGGCAGGAGGGGACACGGGGTCACGGAGTGATGGGGCTGGAGGGGACCTCAGAGCCCCTTTGGTGTCCCCAAAGGGCAGGAGGGGACACGGGATCACGGAGTGATGGGCTGGAAGGGACCTCAGAGCCCCTTTGGTGTCCCCAAAGGGAAGGGAGGGACACAGGGTCATGGAGTGATGGGGCTGGAAGGGACCTCAGAGCCCCTTTGGTGTCCCCTCTCAGTGTCCCCTCTCAATGTCCCTATTCCAAACAACCTCAGTGTCCCCTCTGGGTGTCCCCATTCAGTGGCCTCGCTCAGTGTCCCCTCTCCGTGTCCCTTTCGGTGTCCCCTCTCAATGTCCCTGCTCCAAACAGCCTCAGTGTCCTCTCTGGGTGTCCCCTCTGGGTGTCCCCTCTCAATGTCCCTGCTCAGTGTCCCCTCTCAGTGTCTGTCCATTTTAGTGTCCCCTTTCCGTGTCCCCTCCCGCTGTCTCCTCTCTGTGTTCCCCATCAGTGTCCCTTTCGGTGCCCCTCTCAGTGTCCCCTCTCAATGTCCCCGCTCCGACCAGCCTCAGTGTCCCCTCTTGGTGTCCTCTCTCAATGTCCCTGCTCAGTGTCCCCTCTCCGTGTCCCCTCTCCGTGTCCCCGCTCTGAACAGCCTCAGTGTCCCCTCTCAATGTCCTTGCCCAGTGTCCCCTCTCCGTGTCCCCTCCCAGTGTCTCCTCTCTGTGTTCCCCATCAGTGCCCCTCTTGGTGCCCCTCTCAATGTCCCCTCTCAATGTCCCCGCTCTGAACAGCCTCAATGTCCCCTCTTGGTGTCCCCATTCAGTGGCCTCGCTCAGTGTCCCCTCTTGGTGTCCCTTTTGGTGTCCCCTCTCTGTGTCCCCTCTCAATGTCCCTGCTCCGAACAGCCTCAGTGTCCCCTCTCAATGTCCCTCCTCAGTGTCCCCTCTCAGTGTCCCCTCTCAGTGTGCCCTTTCCGTGTTCCCTCCCGCTGTCTCCTCTCTGTGTCCCCCATCAGTGCCCCTCTCGGTGCTCCTCTCAGTGTCCCCTCTCAATGTCCCCGCTCTGAACAGCCTCAGTGTGCCCTCTCCGTGTCCCCTCTCCGTGTCCCCTCTCGGTCCCCTCCCGGTGCCCCTCCCGGTGTCGCCTCTCCGTGTCCCCTCTCCGTGTCCCCTCTCCGTGTCCCCTCTCCGTGTCCCCTCCCAGTGTCTCTTCTCTGTGTCCCCTATCGGTGCCCCTCTCCGTGTCCCCTCTCAATGTCCCCTCTCAATGTCCCCGCTCCGAACAGCCTCAGTGTCCCCTCTTGGTGTCCCCATTCAGTGGCCTCGCTCAGTGTCCCCTCTCGGTGTCCCTCTCGGTGCCCCTCTCCGTGTCCCCTCCCCGTGTCCCCTCCCGGTGCCCCTCCCGGTGTCAGTGCCGGTGTCCCCTCTCAGTGTCCCCTCCCCGTGTCCCCTCTCTGTGCCCCTCTCCGTGCCCCTCTCGGTGCCCCTCCCGGTGTCAGTGCCGGTGTCGCGGGCCGTGTCCCCTCTCCGTGTCCCCCATCAGTGCCCCTCCCCGTGTCCCCTCTCGGTGCCCCTCCCGGTGCCCCTCCCGGTGTCGCGGCCGTGTCCCCGCGCCGGAGCGGAACGTGGCGCCGGGAGCGGTGGCGGCGGTGGCCGATGGCCGCGATAGGGCAGGGCTGGCCCGGCCCCGGTGTCCCGGCCGCGCCTTATCGCGGCGGCATCGCCCGGCCCGACCTTGCTGCGGGCACCGGGCGGCGGCGGGGCACGCTGCGCTGGCTCGGGGCCACCGGGGCCACCCTGGGGACAGCGGGAGCTGCTCCCGTGGGCGCCTGGCCCGGGGGGCTGCGGCAGCGGGGGGCACACACGGGTGTGCGGGGTGGGCAGGGCACAGCTGGGCATGGCACAGCTGGATGTGGAAACACCTGGGCATGGGCACACCTGGGAATGGGCACACCTGGGCATAGACACAGCTGGATGTGGAAACACCTGGAAATGGGCACACCTGAAAATGGACACACCTGGGCATGGCACAGCTGGATGTGGAAACACCTGGGCATGGGCACACCTGGGAATGGGCACACCTGGGAATGGGCACACCTGAAAATGGACATACCTGGGTATGGGCACACCTGGGCATGGGCACACCTGGATGTGAAAACACCTGGGCATGGACACACCTGGGTAGAGACACACCTGGGAATGGGCACGCCTGGGAATGGACACATCTGGGCATGGGGACAGCTGGATGTGGAAACACCTGGAAATGGGCACACCTGAAAATGGACACACCTGGGCATGGCACAGCTGGATGTGGAAACACCTGGGCATGGGCACACCTGGGAATGGACATACCTGGGTATGGGCACAGCTGGATGTGAAAACACCTGGGAATGGGCACAGCTGGGCATGGGCACACCTGGGAATGGGCACAGCTGGAAATGGACATACCTGGGTATGGCACAGCTGGGCATGGACACACCTGGATATGAAAACACCTGGGCATGGGCACACCTGAAAATGGATATACATGGGTATGGGCACACCTGGGAATGGGCACACCTGGGAATGGACATACCTGGGTATGGGCACACCTGGGCATGGGCACAGCTGGGTGTGGAAACACCTGGGCATGGACACACCTGAACATGGACACACCTGGGCATGGGCACAGCTGGGCATGGGCACAGCTGGATGTGGGAACACCTGGGCATGGGCACACCTGAAAATGGACATACCTGGGTATGGGCACACCTGGGCATGGGCACACCTGGGCATGGGCACACCTGAAAATGGACATACCTGGGTATGGGCACACCTGGGCATGGGCACATCTGGGCATGACACAGCTGGATGTGGAAACACCTGGTCATGGACACACCTGGGAATGGGCACACCTGGGCATGGACACACCTGGGCATAGACACACCTGGGCATGGACACACCTGGGAATGGGCACAGCTGGATGTGGAAATACCTGGGCATGGGCACACCTGAAAATGGACATACCTGGGTATGGGCACGCCTGGGAATGGGCACACCTGAACATGGACATACCTGGGTATGGGCACACCTGGGCATAGACACACCTGGATATGAAAACACCTGGGCATGGACACACCTGGGAATGGGCACACCTGGGAATGGGCACAGCTGGATATGAAAACACCTGGGCTTGGACACACCCGGGTAGAGGCACACCTGGGCATGGGCACACCTGAAAATGGACATACCTGGCCATGGGCACACCTGGGCAGGGACACACCTGTGACCGGGGGGGTGTGACCGGGGGGGTGTCACCTCGGCCCCGCCCCCGTCCCTGAGCGCTCCCCAAGCCCCGCCGGGGGCGGGGCTTGGGGAGCGCTCAGGGGCGGGGCGGGCCGAAGCGGGCGGGGGCGGAGCCAAGGCGGGTGGGCGGGGCGCGGGCAGCTCGAGGGGCGTGGCTAAAGCCGAGCGGGGCGGGGCCGCCGCCGTTATGGGCGGGACCGGCGCCGTTGTGGGCGTGGCCTCCCCGTTATGGGCGTGGCCGCTCCGCTGTGGGCGGGACCGGCGCCGTTGTGGGCGGGACCGGCGCCGTTGTGGGCGTGGCCTTGCCGCTGTGGGCGTGGCCGCGCCGTTGCGGCGGGCCCGGCCCGGCCGGTGTCGGTGGCGCTGCGGCAGCGGCGGCTCCGGAGCGGGGCCCGGCCCGGCCCCGCCGTTGCTCCGGCCCGGCCATGGCGCTGCTGCGGGCGGCCGCGCTGCCCGCCGAGGGCTGCCCGGCCTGGCTGCCCACGCACGTCCAGGTGACGGTGGTGCGGGCCCGCGGGCTGCGCTGCAAGGGCGGCGGCAAAGGCAAAGCGGGCGGCAGCGACGCGTACACCGTGATCCAGCTGGGCCGCGAGAAGTACAGCACCTCGGTGGCCGAGAAGAGCGGCGGCAGCCCCGAGTGGAGGGAGGAATGCGCCTTCGAGCTGCCCCCCGAGCCCGGGGCCTGCCCGGGGCTGCTGCTCACCGTGATGCACCGGGCGCTGGTGGGCATGGACCGGTTCCTGGGCCAGGCCCTGGTGGCCCTGGAGCCCGCCCGGCAGCGCGGCCGCGAGCCCGACGAGCGGTGAGTGTGGGCACGGAGCGGGCACGGGGCAGCTCGGGGTGCCGGGGTGGGCACCGGGACCCCCGTGTGCCCGGGATTGGTGTCCCAGGGTGGTGTCACGGCGTCCCCGGGTACCCCTGCAGGGGCAGTGGGGTCACTGTGTGCCCCAGGGTGGGCACTGCAGGGTCACTGTGTGCCCCAGGGTGGGCACTGCAGGGTCACTGTGTGCCCCAGGGTGGGCACATGAACCCCCCAGTGCCCTGGCGTGGCTGTCACTGGGTCACTGTACACCCCAGGGTGGTGTCACGGCGTCCCCGGGTACCCCTGCAGGGGCAGTGGGGTCACTGTGTGCCCCAGGGTGGGCACATGAACCCGCCCAGTGCCCTGGCGTGGCTGTCACTGGGTCCCTGTGTGCCCCAGGGTGGGCACTGTGGGGTCACTGTGTGCCCCAGGGTGGGCACTGCGGGGTCCCTGTGTGCCCCAGGGTGGGCACATGAACCCCCCAGTGCCCTGGCGTGGCTGTCAGTGGGTCACTGTGTGCCCCAGGGTGGGCACATGGACTCCCCCAGTGCCCTGGCGTGGCTGTCAGTGGGTCACTGTGTGCCCCAGGGTGGGCACATGAACCCCCCCAGTGCCCTGGCGTGGCTGTCACTGGGTCCCTGTGTGCCCCAGGGTGGGCACTGCGGGGTCCCTGTGTGCCCCAGGGTGGGCACTGCGGGGTCACTGTGTGCCCCAGGGTGGGCACATGAACCCCTGCAGTGCCCTGGTGTGGCTGTCACTGGGTCCCTGTGTGCCCCAGGGTGGGCACTTGAACCCCCCAGTGCCCTGGCGTGGCTGTGACTGTGTGCCCCAGGGGTCCCTGTGTGTCCCCAGGGGTCCCTGTGTGTCCCCAGGGATCCCTGTGTGTCCCCAGGGGTCCCTGTGTGCCCCAGGGGTCCCTGTGTGCCCAGGACGGCTGCTGGAGGAGGAAGGACATCACCATGGCCACCCCAGGGAGGTGCCACGGGGACTGGGGTGTGGCAGATCCCCGTCCGGGCTCTCTGCGGGCTGTGCCTGCCGCAGGAGGGGTGACACGGGTGCCCTGGGCAGGGGTCCCGAGGCTGGGCTGGCCCTGTGAGCCCGGAAGGATGCATGCAGGGCCCGGGGATGCTCCGGGAAGGACGTGCTGTGCCAGGAAGGGGCTGTGGAGCAGGGGCCCTGCATCCCCCTGGAAGGGAATGGTGCTGGACAAGGCACTGGAGCATCCATCCACCCACCCACCCACCCACCCATCCATCCATGCCCCGGGCAGGGCGCAGCACGCCCGAGGTCCCTCTGCACCCCGCAGGGCTCTGTCTCTCCGTGCTTTGTCCCCGACAGCTGCGGTGGCTTTGTGGCCACCCCGTTGTCACCTGCTTTGTGCTTTGTGGGTGCCCGGTTTGGGGGTCCACACCCCAGCCCTGCCTCCAGCACGGGTCCCTGTGCAGCAGGGCATTGCTGACCCTCCTCCTGCCCCAGAAGGCTTCAGAACACTCCGAGTGCTGCCAGCCTTTGCCGAGCGCAGGGGCACAGCCCTGCTCCTCGCTCCGGCGTCTCAAAGGTCTGCTCAGGGGCCACTAATCCCCCGGGAGCAATGTCCAGCCTGTGCCACCCCGTGACACCGCTCCTGCAGCCAGGGACATCCCCAGGGCCTTGGGAAGGCTTCAGGGAGACCTTCCAGCACCTTCCGGGGCCTCCAGGAGAGCTGGAGAGGGACTGGGGACAAGGGACAGAGGGACAGGAGCCAGGGAATGGCTCCCACTGGGAAAGGGGAGCTTGGGCTGGGATCTTGGCAAGGAATTCCTGGCTGGGCTGGAATTCCCAGCTTTGCTGTGGCTGCCGCTGGATCCCTGGCAGTGCTCAGGGCCAGGCTGGATGGCTCTGGAGCAGCCTGGGACAGGGGAAGGGATGGAATTGGATGATCCTTTCAGTCCCTTCCAGCCCAGCCCCATTCCATGATTCTCTCATTTGCTGCCTGCCTCCCTCCCTTCCTGTAGCTTTGCTTGCATAAGGAAAATTCACTTCCCCTTGTGGCAGTCAGGATCACAGGAGCTTTTAAAACCTTTTAAAACTCCATTTTCATCCGTGGCCCCGAGCATGTGTGGAAAACACGAGGGAAGCTCTCACCCTGTGCCCGAGGGTGGGTGGCACCTCTGCAGCCTGGAGGGGCCACACTGGTTTTTGGAGGAGAATCCCAGGGGCTGGAGCTGGTCCAGCCAGGTGGGAGAAGGATCACAGGGAGCTCAGGGGCTTTTGGCTCTTTGGGAGCTTCCAGCTTTGGTCAGGAGGAAGCTTTGAGTCCCAGATTAGAAAGAGCAAAACAAACAGAGGCTCCCACCCTCGGGGCTGGCCCTGCTGAGCCCAGCCAGGCCTGTGCTGGGGAGATAAGGGGGCTGTGGGGCTGAGGGGGAGATAAGGGGGCTGTGGGGCTGAGCCTCTGCCCCTCGCCTGCTTTGGGATCCCGTCCTCGCCCTGCTGCCAGCTGGAGTGGGAGCCTGCTCAGGCAGAGGATCCCCTGTCAGTGTGCTGACCTTGCTCTCATTTCCCTGCAGGTTTTTATTGCACAGAAACTTCCCCAGTGATAATTGTTATCCTTGTTTTGGGCTGGGTGGAAAATGTTCCGTCAAACTTGGACTCTTCCCCGGGCCGGGGGTGTTTCCGAGCTGCCTCGTGCTGCTCAGCCTGGGTCATTTCAGGGGAAAATCGACTCCTGGAGTTGCACAAGAGCAGCCTGGGAGCTCTCATGGCCTTCTTGGCCATCCCAGGCTTTACCCCACGCTCAGGCGGCTCTGGGGTTGGGTTTGGCAGGCAGAGCAAGCTCTGAGCATCGTTTCCCCCTTTGCACTGAGCCTCTGTGCATGCAGAGAGCCCTGGACAGGACCTCCTGCTCCTCACCTCCCTCCCCTGACCCGGTCCTGCACTTCCCTGCCCTGTGCTCAGCCTGCACAGCCAGGCTCCAGCCCAGGAAATGAGGGATTTTGGGAACTCACCAGGCAGCTGTTGCTTCTGCTTCCCAACATGCAGGAAATGCCCTTGGAGTGCCCGTGGGGCTCATCCTGCGGGGTGGCAGCGAGCCAGGGACTGTCCCTGCACCCCCAGCCCACAGCTGGCACCTGGGGAAGCTGGGGGGCACCCAGAGAAACGGGGTTCCCTCCGAGGCACCGGCTGGGTTTGTGTGGGTCAGAGAGCCCCGGAATGCTTTGGGCTGGAAGGACTGTGAAACCACCCAGGGCCACCCCTGCCATGGGGACACCTCCCACTGTCCCAGCTGCTCCCAGCCCGGTGTCCAGCCTGGCCTGGGCACTGCAGGGCAGCCCCAGCTGGGAATGCTCTGGGAATTCCAGCCCAGCCCCTCCCCACCCTGCCAGGGAACAATTCCCAATGTCCCATCCGTCCCTGCCCGCTGCAGCTGGGATCCATTCCTGTGTCCTGTCCCCTGTGGAGACCTCTGGCCCAGGAGTGGCACCCCGGGTGAGCAGCGGGGCAGGGGACACTGGGGGGGACAGGAGGAGCCTGGCAGCACCTGCAGGGCTGGGCCTTGGCTCTCCCTGCACGGGAGCCCCTGGGGACCCCTGCTTTGCAGTGTGGGGCTGAGCAGGCAGCAGCTGAGGTTCAAGATTTCCTGGGCTGGCTGGAGCTGGCCCTGAGCTGCCACGGAACCATTTCCATGTGCCGTGTGTCCCAAAGGTGACAGGGACAGGGAGGGGTGCAGGTGCAGGCAGGGAGCTGCCAGGCTCCAGCCAGGCTCCGTGTGTGAGGCCCGTGGGTGCAGCAGCACTCAGCATTCCTGCCTCTGCTGCTCCTGCAGTGACTTGCACTCACTCCCGACAGGGAACTGGGCTGGGGGAGTTGTTTCTGCTGCAGAATTAGCTCAGCTCAGACTTCCCCAAAGCCCTTCCGTGCTGCACTTCCCTCCTGTGGTTCCCCTTCCTGCCCAGCTGTGGGGCAGCTGCTGCTGGGGGGGCTGCCCGGGGCCGGGGCTCTCCTCCTCCCACCAAGGGACCTTTCCTCTCTGTGAGGCCACCAGGGCTGCTCTGCTCCCTGTGCTGATGGAGGGGAGGGGACAGGGCATTCCTTGGGTCTGGGGGAGATGCCAGGGGGGCAGAGGGCAGAGAAGGAGCTGTGAGCCCCAGCACACATGGAGGAGCAGAGGGCTGATCCAGAGGCTCTCCCAAGGGCCCATCCTGCCCAGGGGTGGGTGCTGCCCATCTGCTCAGTGTGTGGGACCTTGCAGGGGTGAGAAGCTCCCTCAGAGCCAAGGAGGCTCCCAAATCCCTGCCCTCAGTGGGCCCCCGCCAGGCACATGTCCCCTGCTGGACTGGTGGGACCCATCCCGTCCCCTCCTTGCTTCCCTGGCACTGTCCTCGTGTTCCCCCTGGCATGGACCCGCTCTCATCTCCTCCTCCAGCCCCTCTGGAGCTCTGCCAGCCCAGGCTGTGCCTGTGCTGTGTCCCTCCCTCATTTAATGAAGATCAGGACATCATTAGCGCTACGGTGGGGCCGTGGCAGCCCACGGGCTCGGGGCTGTGCCACCTCCCTGTGACCTCCTCATGGTCATTCCCAGCCTGGCCTTGGCTCCCTGTGCCAGGGGAGACTGTCACAGCCAGGCTGAGCCTGCTCTGCTCCCTGGGGAGCTGAGGCCAGCCCAATCCTGCAGCCCTGGCCTTGGCACGGCTGTCCTCAGGCCCAGGAGGGGGCAGGAGGCAACTGCTGCTCTGGGCTGTGTTTGGGGTGGGGGGTTTGCACCAAGAGCAAAGAGCCCTTTTCAGCCCTTTTCCCCGTGGGCAGAGTGCCCAGCAGGGCTGGTGAGGGTCTGTGGGGTGGCCAGCAGCACCAGGGAGCTCCAGGGATGCCCTGAGCTGGGATGGTTGGGGCTGAGAACTGCAGCTGGAGGCAGGAAATGCCCTGGAGTGTCAAAATGCTGCAGGGGAGGAGGGGCTGGAGCTGCCAAAAACTGGGTCAGCATGCTCTGCTGTGGGGGCATGGGCACAGCCAGGGCTGGG